ATTAATTTGGTATAAATATCTCATTTTTGAATCTGAGGGTCGAAACCCACTTTTTCCTAGAACAGCCCCCATATGTTAATATTCAATTTATTTAATTCTTTTCTTAATTTTTTTTTCGTTGGTAAATATGATTCCTGACTAGTATTAAGTCTATGTCTTTGATATTTGATGTTTCTATCCCATTGAACCTTTGAGGTGTAACACTTTGTACAGAGAGAATCACCTATATTAAGTTCAAAGCATCCTCCTCCTTCAGCTTTTCCTTTAGTAGTTTCATTTATTGTTCTAAAATATTCAGATTTAGTTTCTTTACAAAGCATGCATTGTTTAATTTTTGGCATTTTCACTATTATACACTGAAATCAAGGAAGGTCTGATCTAGTCTGATCTGACACGGAAAACATTTTAAAAGATAAAGGATAATAATACTGCAAAGTTTGAACACAGGTCAATTAGTGTTCGTCCATTCACCTTCCAAATGGGGTGATAGTACTTTAAAATCTTCAATTGAAATGTATATTGGTGATCGTGTAACATACGAATGTCCATCATGCTTAAAAAAAGGAAATAAATAAATCAAATAAATCAAATGTATGTTGTAGAAAATATTCTATGAAAAAACAGTTGTTACACAGAATTTACTTAGTCTCAATTTCTTAAATGTATAACAAAATTCAGAATTTTCAAAATGCTAAGGCTCTGCCAATTTTCAGTTTAAGAAAAACCAGCTGATAAGTTTTGAAGCTTGAGTCATGAAAAATAAAACTTATCGGTTAAATTTTTAAAATAATATAATTTTTTTGTGTTTTAGTATTTTGAAGTTGACCAATTGTTACTATAAGCAATTAATGATTATCCCTTAAACGGTTTTTTGGCTATTAATAGCTGAAATTTTTTTTCTGTTATAAAAAACTTTTTCTGAAGGTATTACTTCCTAATACGAAAATGATCTTTGAGATTCAGCTGATTGATCTGTGAATAAAAATTCAGTTGTTGTCCTTGTGGTTTTCGTAAAAACATCCTTAAAAGTTGGTTGATTGACTATTTTTACTTTGCAGATCGTGAAATTGGCCAATGAGAATGCAAGATCGTGATCAAAAAATTATTTTGTGTTACTACTAAAGAATACTTTGCCCGTTTAAGGGATAGATGATCTGCACTGTATTCCAATATTATTTTGTGAATTATTAAAGCAAAAATAATAATGCTTTTTTATATTTGGTAAAGTTCTAAAATGATCTTCTAACAATAAATTAAAGTCATACCACTTCCAACCTAGTCTATTATTATATCTAATTGACTTATTATATTTAGATGAATTATTTATAACTGTCTCAACATCATCAACAGTATTTATATGACTGGTCTTGTATAATTTTTTAATAGATCCAAATTTAGCATCACAAATAAATTTTGTATGTCCAGGTATCATAAAATTAAAACAATCAATCATTTCTTGGATTGAATCTGTATCGCCATCAGATGGTAAAATCAAATAATCTTCAATATTTTCTGAAGAAGGAAGGATATCAACTTTAGACCAGCATGAAACAATTGTACCAGGCGAAACAAGGTTCCATGCTTCTGCAGTAAAAGAAATAGCATCAAATATTGTAAGTTTTGGCACAGGTATTTGTTGATTGATCTTATTGTCATATGCATCAATTCTGTTTTGACATAAAATCCACCGATATTTTGATTTAAAGTAGTGTATTATTCCACAATCACAAGGCTGGAGATGGGAGGTAGTATTTGGAGGGAAATAGTGTAATATAATATTAGAAAGAGAAATGCCTTTTTCCAATGAATGCAATGTAGCATTATCTAGCAGAAGCAAAATGTGATGTCTTGCTTTTCTCATATCTTCATTTAATTTTGTAAGCTAATGATAAAACACAGATGATTACATCCAGGCACACAAATTCCAATAATAAAAAACAGGCAAAGTTTTCTTATCAATATTTCTTAAACATCTAGGGTCTTTATACTTATAAATGAAAAGAGGTGTTAATTGGATGTTCCTGTAGCATTACAGGTAAGCAAAACAGTAACTCAGTCCTATAGTCTTTTAGTGCCTGAAATTGGTCCACTAGCAAAAGTTTTGGAAGGTTCTAGCTTTCAGTAAAGTGCAGTTTCGTCACAATTGTATAAATCATCAAGATTCCATTGATTAAGAAGATTTTTGAGATTATCACAATATTGTGACAATTCCTCCAAAGGTGCGGAATTTGACTCACCACAATGAACATGTTCAGAAATATTGTATCATCTTTTAAATCTATCAAACCACCCATTTGATCCTTTGAAGTCATTTATCTGAAAATATTGGGCAAAAACTTTAGCTTTTGAAATAACAATATGCCCAGATAAATCACTTGCTGCCTGATCAATCCAGAGTGCTAATGAATTGTTCAATTTCTGGATATTTTGTTGATCTCTCATGATATGAATTTGCAGTGAATTGATTTGGATTCAATGATAAAAAATAATCACTTTTTTTTAGAATTTCAGAAATAGTAGATTCACCATCATTATATTTAAATGCAAGCTGATTATTTTTTATGCTTGGGTCTTTATTTTTTTCAATACATATTTCTATTTTTTGTGAGATTGTTATAGGTGTATGTTTTCTTTTTGATACCCCAACTTCTTTTTCAGTTGATTTTTTTTTTCCCTCTTGTTTGCACTAGAGGAAGGTCTATGATTATTATTTGCTATTTCCATGGTAATTTTTGTACATATGTGTTTGTATAATGTATATTATTATTATTGGTCCAATTTTTATTTCACATTGGTTTATAAAGATTAATCTTTGGTTTATAAAAATTCGGATTAACAGGACAATTTTACATATAAATGGCTTCAAAAAATTTAAAAATTTCTTCGGTTTACGGTTTATAAAGTTATATTAGTAACATTCATATTAATGGGGTAATTTACATATGTTTGGCTTTGGTGTTTTAAAAATTATTCATTTTAACGGGGTTTTCAGATTAACGGGGTTCGGATTAACGGGGTTGCCTATCAGTCACAGGACATTTCCCGCCGATCTATAGGAGGTTGTAAAACATAGTAAATTTGGATGATCTGCATCATAGTAAAATTCGAATTTACATAGTAAAATTTTATAATCGAATGTCTTCACACCCTC